AATCCAGTGTCGCAAGAAGATTTCGTCACTCTCTTAACACAGGTGGAGGGATGCATGAATTCGAGACCGTTGACATCATTATCGGACGATCCTCTAGAATTAGAAGCGCTAACACCAGTACACTTCTTGACTGGAGGTTCACTGCTTATCATGCCAGATCCAGATTTACGTGATGTCCAAACGAATCGCCTCACTCGATGGCAATTGGTTCAGCGGCAACTCCAAGATTTCTGGATACAGCTTCAATCACGATCAAAACATTGGCAGCCAGCAGTAGAAATGCAAATCGGCAGACTTGTTGTTATTGTCGACACAAATCAATCACCCACACAATGGAAGATGGGCCGTATACAAGAACTTCACCCAGGCGACGATGGAGTCACTAGCGTCGTTGCAGTACGGACATCAACCGGTTCGATGAAACGTCCGGTAGCAAAATTGTGTTTACTACCGTCACCAATCCTCAGATCATAATTGAGTCGGTGGTCCAGTGTGTCGAGAGGAGTTCTTTTCTTTTCAATATTTTCTGAAATTTCCCCGGTAACTTCAGGGTGGGTGAGAATGTTTGCGAGCAACAAGAAAAACAGCGGATGCAGCCAATTGAAAACGCACTAACTGGGATTTAGGTACTCTACGGTGCTACCAATCGGTTGAGTGTGGTGGCTAGTGGTAGTGAACCTATTCGCCGCGGTCACTCACTACTACGCACGAACTGCACAGAGGAGAGATTTTCTCGTCGAAGAATGTGGGAAGTATGATTAGGAGATAGAAATGTAATATAGGAAATAAGTTAGTCAAAAAAGTACACCGTCGCGAGTAGTCGACCGCTGGCGAACCCCGAACGAAATTATTGTTTAGTTTAAGTTCAATAAATGTAGTGTTTTTGCAATAAATTGTATTTTGTGTAAAAATTGGTGTAGTGTTATGTATGCGGTGAAGGAAGGTCTACGGATGACAAAAGGATTTGGTCGAGGAAAGGATACGGATTCTACAAGGAAGGAAGGAAAGGGTACGTTCGCCGGGCAAGTAGAAGTCAACAACAATCGGTCGGGACGGTCCCCGACAAGGTCGACAAATTTGCCAAGAAGTACTTAGTGTGGCAGGCGACCGGCACCATCAACGGCCACATATATAAAGAAGAATGCCTCCAGAAGCGCCTGCTGTCCTTCCTCCGGTTCCATGAAGGTGACACTCTGTTTTGCCTGGATCTGGCATCGTGCGAAACCGGTGTTGGAGTGATACGAAGCCAACGATGTTGTTTTTGTGCCGAAGGAGGCAAATCCGCCAAACTCGCCAGAACTTCGCCCAATAGAAAAAGTCTGGGTGATTATGAAGGGCAAGCTCTGGAAAACAGGGAAGGTCTTCAAAAACGACAAGGATTTGAAGAAAGAGTGGTTGAAAGTGTGTAAGAAAGATGGCGCAAGTGTTGCACAGAATTTGATGGGTAGCGTTAAGTTCAAGGTGCGAGCATTTATCCTAGGAGAGGAGGTTGAATAAACCAACTTTGCAAAAACATAGCTAATATGTGTTTATTTATTCCCTGAGAGTTTCAAAACTATCCGCCATCAAAAGAATTGTTGGTGATCATTTTTGTGCTGCCTTTTTTTTCGAATACAGTCTTTACATTACATGGAAAAGTTGCAAAGTAGAAACTCGGTAAGTTCGCCCCTTCAATTTGTCGTTCTTAGCGGAGCCCATTTTTGCCACTACGTCCCTGGATAGAGGAAATTACTTTTAATGTTTAATGTTGTTCCAGATTTATCATCTGCTGGCTTCACTAACATTTTAAAAGATGGTATCTGCTTTGCCATCAGAACACAATTGCTCTCACGCGAATATCAGCACGGCTTTCCCAAGGGGTTCGATCGGATCTACGGAGGGAACTACTAAATCGGTTTTCGTTTCCATCGAGTCTTCTTTCATGGTTACTGATGTGTTAAGTTGAAAATTTCCCTAAATTTCACGTGACGTACTTAATGCATGCCCCCTATCTTTTCAACATATCAAGAAAGCTGACCACTTTGCCTGAATTAAAGCAACAGACACAGTAGCGCTGCGCTCGAGCGAAGGTGGAAGCAATGCATAGAAAAATGACCAAATACACAAACCTTTATTCTGAGGATGGAACCTTTGCTATCCAATTCGTTCGGAGCATTTACCTTTGAGCGGCAGATGACGCGATTCTACCTGTATGATACCGGACTTTTCTGACAGCAAATTATGCAAGAAATTATTCAAAATACCGGTTAATCCACTACTGTGCAAATTGTCTGACAGTATGTCTATGGAAACCAAATCAAATGCGCCCTTAATATACTAAAAGACTGAAGCCAATTGCTCCTTCTGCGCAAAGGCAAGTTGAATATCAGATGAAAGCATCGCTAGACAATCGTTTGTTCCTTTACTCTTCCGGAAACCAAATTGCGTATTTAAAAGTAGATTGTTTGATTCAACCAAATTCTCAAGTCTTAATAGGATCATTTTTTCTAATAATTTCCTCAGGCATGATAACATAGAGATCGGACGGTAAGAATTGTGATCAGACGCTGGTTTCCCAGGCTTTTGAATAGCTATTACTTTAACCTGTCTCCATGCTGGTGGAACTATATTGAATTCCATAAATGAATTATATAGGTTAAGTAATCGTCTTTCAGCGATATCGGGGAGGTTTTTTAGAAGGTCGAATTTGATCATATCGCAGAGTTATTCGATGAAAGAAGTGCCATTGAAAATTCCAGTATTGTGAATGGTTCATCCAGAGAACCGTTACTTCGGGCTGTATCCCGTAAAGTTGGTTGTGCTGGAACAGAATCTGGACAAACCTTTTTAACGAAGTCGAATATCCATTGGGAGGAGTATTCTTCACTCTCATTGGAAGATGAGCGGTTTCGCATATAGCGAGCCTTTTTCCAAAGCGTTGTCATCAAGGTTTCTCTAGAAAGTCCCTCGATAAAAGTACGCCAGTAATTTCGTTTCTTTGCTTTTAGTAAGTTTTTAAGGTTTTTTTGAAGCTAAAGATACTTTTCAAAAAGCTCAAATCTTTCATGTCTACGATAATCTTTAAAGGCATCGGATTTCTCAAGATACAACTTTGTGCATTCGTCATCCCATCCAGGGGTGGCGGGTCTTCTTTTGAGGGATGCACTTGGAACACGTCGTTTCTGAGCTTCTAATGCGCTTTTGTAGATTAGCTCGGTAATGAAACGATACTCTTCCAGTGGTGGTAGAGGATCGGTAGAATCAATACCAAGAGTTACCGCCGATACAAATTTTTGCTAATCAATGTTCCTCGTGAGGTCAAAAGGAACTTGAATTGACTGATCTGTTTTTAGACGACCACTTTTGATTGAAATAATAATTGGCAAGTGATCACTACCATGATGATCATTAATAACCTTCCACAGACAATCTAATGATAGTGAGTTAGAGCACAAAGATATATCAAGATGGCTCTCCCGAGCAGGAGGTTTTTCTATTAGTGTTGCTTCACCAGTGTTCAAGATAGTCAAGTTGAAATCGTCGCACAAATCATAGAAAATACCCGCTCTATTGTCATTGTATGTTTCGCCCCAACCAGTACCGTGTGAGTTCATATCGCCCAGTACTAGAACTGGAGATGGAAGGATATTAACTGAACTCCAAAGCTGACGGCGGTTTATGGAAGTCCTTGGAGGGACATATACAGAAGCTATGCAAAGATCTTTGTTCTTAACATTTATTTGGCAAGCGACAATTTCAATGCCTGAAATTATTGGGATTGAGATTTTATAGAAGGAGTAGCACTTTTTGATCCCCAAAAGTACGCCACCATATGAATCATCTCGGTCCAGGCGAATAATGTTAAAATCGTGGAAGTTTAGTTCATCTTCAGAAGAAAGCCAACTTTCACAGAGTGCAAATATATCACAATCAGAATTGTGAATCAAATACTTGAACGAGTCTAATTTAGGTATTAAACTACGACAGTTCCATTGTAATAAAGTGATCATATCTTGATCCTCACTCGACGAATTATCCATCGAAAGATATGAATTCACCAATGAGGGGCCATGATACAGTCAATTGCTTGAAGTAGTTTCCGACTATAGGAACAAGCAGGTCAATAAGCCCTCGAAGTGGTGATTCGTCGGGAAAGCCGAGGGTATTCAAAATATTATCCACAATGTCCTTAAATTTAATCTTTCCTCGTTTGGACGGGAGAGTTTTCTTTGAATTGCGAGTAGACGTGGTGTTTATTTTTGGTAACCTTTTACGATTATCTTTATTTTGTAGCGGCAGGGTGGAATAGCTGCAGCAAGGATCAGATGGAGCAGCAATTAATATGTTGTCTTCGGTTTTAGTCACTAAAAACCTATGTCTTACAATCACAGACTAAAAACACGGGCAGAACAGTAAATCTGAGAAGCTACGCATTATTTGAGCATTGTTAAAGGATTGTGGTGCATTTTATATTATGTTTTCCCCAACAACAAACCCCGCTTATTCACCTATTGGCTTTATGGCAGTGATGGATTGCTAATAAAAAGAATTTAGACTCGAATTTATCATTGCCTAAATCAGCTCTAATGAAGCAAAATGGCAAACTTTAACGCTCAGATATGATTATTCAAAACATAATTGATCCATTATTCTGCACAACGTTAATGATTTATTGTGTCGAACACAACTGTTATCTCCTCCCAGCTCGTGTTCTTTCCAGTTTCCCAGCGGCCTGAATTACGCCAGAGACTACGTTTTCTCTAGAAGCATAAATCGCCCAGTACAAAGCAGCAAGCATCCATCGGTCGCTTTTGCATTGCACAGTATTCCAATCTAAGCCTCTTTGCATCAAAAGATTAGTGTTAACCACATACCAACCACGGGCACAGCAATTGAAGCTTAGAATTGCACGACAAAGCACGTGGGTGTATCAACCATTGGAATAATTAATTAACGGAAACCCCCAGTCACCCCGGACGACCGACCGACCGACGGCAACGCGGTCACCCATCCTCTCTTACCTGTGTATAGCTTCTCGGCAACGTGGTTCTCCGAATCGGCACCCCCGCTGGAATGCATCTTCGAGAGCTTTTCCTTCTTCTTCTGCTCCTTCTTCTCGCGCTTCGATAGCTTCCGCTTGAAGCTCGGCTGATCGGTGATGCTGTCGAGTGTCTGCGAAAAATGTTATCGAGGACGGAAATTAAACCCGAGGATTACAAAATAGCCAGTGACAACGAGCTTACATTGGTCTTCTGGGCGCAGTTCTTCAGCAGAAAGCGCCCCTCCCGGTCGTCGTTGTGCCAGTTGAGCTGAACCAGCAGCGGTTTCTCGTCCGGATTGAGCTTCCGCTCCTCACCGTTGGCATGCACCACGTACAGGGCATAGTTCGGCAGCGACAGCATCCGCATGTCCGGGCGGAATTTCTCGATCAGCGTTTCTGGTGGGAAAAAAAAGCATTCAGATTATGATTGCGGGGTGTGGGCCGGCCCGAGATGGATAATATTACTTACCAATCACATCGGACACGGTGGCATCGGATGCCACCCGAATACATTTGGTGGCTACCTTCTGGCCTTCATCTTGGAAGTAGAATCGCATTACCCCGTGGAATTCCAAATTCTGCGAAAGACAAAATTAAACGCACATAAAAATCATGGGAACAGATAGGTAATTAATTGTGCCGCCAGCGCATACCTCGTTGGGCTCCGAGAGAGCAAAGATATCCAGCCGAACCGTGTTCCATTGCTGGATAACGGAACGAAGCGTTTCGCGGTCTAGCATTCGTTTTTCGTTCACTGACATTGCCGCACCGGCGGGGAAAGCAGCATCGGTTCAGTCAGTCAGAGGGGCATTTGGACCCGTGACGTGGGGGGAGGGGGGCGGTCCTCCCGAGCGGTGGTGTGCTGCAATGTGCGCTAATTACTCGCGCTTGGTTACCGCTGGCGGTTGCTTTGGTGAGGAAACAAGATTATCTATCCTAGAGTCTAGCGGCAGTGGCTGCTCGCGGTGGCGTTGTTGAGTGTTTGTGTGTGTGTGTGTGTTTGGCTGGAAATAGAACGAGGATGAGAGGCAAGAGATTAGAGCGGTTATGAGCGTTCAGTTGGTAATTGCGTTTATTAAGATCAATTAAAAAAATGGATGTTTTGCAGTTGGATGAAGGCAAAATTGGATTAGGTTTAAATCTTTTTTAAATGTGTGACCATAATTATTGGGAAATACTAGGGGAAATAGCTCTAATGTTGGCCTAGGGATCTAAGATTGGCTCCAACGCTTAAAATATGCTATTTATCAATATTATCTAGTTGAACGCGTCATTGACGATTTAGTCGATTACTGAATTTATGTACGGGCCCAAATTAGGCCATTTAGGAATTTAAGGCTTTTACTCGAAAAAAAATGCACCATTTTTATCCGTGGGTAAAAATTGATGAAAATCTGGGTATAACTAGTTTGGAGTGAATTGTTTACATGTGCAAAATGTCATAACAATCGGTTCAGTGGTTATTGAGATGTCATCGAAACAAGAAGAATATCGCCGGAGAATTTTGCGCGCCGTCATGGAAAATCCGACTGCGACCATGAGATGTATCGGAAGACAAATAGGAATCACCCATACAACTGTGTCTCGGGTGGTAAAATCGTTTAAGGAGTCCCAGACGACCGAGCGGCGGGATTTAAGTGGAAGTGGAAGAAAATCGAAGACAGCTGACCCTGTGGAGGTCCGGAAGGTGTTGGATTATTTCAAGCGCAATCCGAACCTTTCGATTCGCGACGCGGCTCTGAAGGCCAATGCGGTAAACTGAGTAAACCGTACATCACAATGGGTACCATCAACAGCGAAATTTACCGCACCGAGTGCCTCCAGAAGCGTCTGTTGCCCTTCCTGCGGTCCCATGGAGGCGAGACATTATTTTGGCCGGACCTGGCATCATGCCATTACGCGCGATCGACGTTGGATTGGTACAGAGACAATAACGTTGTTTTTGTACCAAAAAACGCCAACCCCCAAATTCACCAGAGTCCGGTGGAAAAATGTTGGGCCATAATGAAGGCCAAAGTTCGAAAATCGTCCAAAGTGTTTAAGAACGAGCTGGAGTTGAAGAAAGAATGGATGAAAGTGACCAAAAAGGTTGGCTCCCCCATTGCACAAAATGTAATGAGGGGTCTTAAGGGAAAGGTACGGGCTTTCAGCGATGGAATGGAAATTGAATAAAGTAATTATGCCGAAACATAATCCATATGTATTAGTTCATTCCCTGAAAGTTTCAAGAAAATCCGACAAATGCTTTACTTTCAGATACGCAATTTGGATTTCTGAGGGGCAAAGGAATCAATGACTTGCTTGCGTTGCTTTCTACCGAAATTTAACTGGCCTATGCTCGAAGACAGCAAATGGGTTCAGTTTTCTTGGACATTAAGGAGGCTTTTGATTCTGTTTCGGACAAACTCCACGTTAGTGGGCTTTCACCAATTATGAACAACTATTTGAGCAACTTGTTGTCTTAGAAATATATGAGTTTCTCTAATGGAAACTCGACAACTTCACGAATTAGTTACATGTGTCTCCCCCAGGGCTCATGTTTAAGCCCCCTTCTTTATATTTTTTATGTAAAATACATTGATGGTTGTCTTGCAGCTTGTAGATGACGGCGTTGTGTCCGTTATAGGGCCCAAAGCACCGGACCTGCAAGGACCATTGCAAGATACCTTGGACAATTTGTCTACTTGGGCTATGAAGCTGGGTATCAAATTCTCTCCGGAGAAAACTGAGCTGGTTGTTTTATCTAGGAAGCATCATCCGGCACAGTTACAGCTTCAGCTAATGGGTAAAACAATCACTCAAAGTATTTCTTTTAAGTATTTAGGTATCTGCAGCAAAAACACACATCCTTAAGCTGCAACGGATCGAATACCGTCACCTTCGTATTGCGCTAGGCTCGAGGTACTCCTCGCGGGTGTCCTTCCCCTAACAGATCGTTTCGCTGAACTGTCTTTCCAGTTTCTCATACGTTGTGAAGTAATGAATCCTTTGGTAATAGAAAACTTTAAGAAGTTGCTCGACCGAAATCCTCAAACAAAATTCATGAGTTTGTACTATGAATACATGACGCTGGAGGTTGGTCCTTCTTCATTAATCTCCAATTGTGATTGCTTTCAAGCCTTCTCTAGTTCCTCTGTAAATTTGGATCTGACCATGATGCAAGAAATTCATGGAATACCAGATCACCATCGGTTGATGGTTGTTCCCTTAATTTTTGCAATCAAGTACCACCATGTAAGTAAAGATAAAAGTTTTTTCACAGATGGGTCAACCATAAATGCTTCATAGCGCCTCCTATAAACTGCAAAAAACCATGCTCCGTATACGTTGCGGAACTAGATCTGAGGATTTAGTAGTTAGTGCCATCTTGTGTTCTTCCAAGTTTTTAGCTCCCCATCGGTGTACCCCCTGATCTGTCTTTTTCATCAGTATGTCGCTTAGTTTGAGATCAAGAGCACATTGCTCTGCAAACCTTGTGTTCTCAATCCCCTGTTACCCCTAACCTCGAGCTAGCTGCGAGTAATCGGCTCCCGCTTTACTAACGTTAGTTTTAAGTAATTTTGTGATGTAAACAATGAATATCGGCTCCGCAAAGCTACGGCAAATGAGCCTGGAAAATAAACGCATTAAAAAAAAACATCTCTTATCCGCGCTATTCGTTTGAAAGTATCCGCAGAAAATACTGGTTCTTGTTGATGTTTCATCATCATTCTCTTGGAATTCTCCATAAAATTCATCCGTTATTTTCCTCACAATCTCCATACAACTTTCCTCACAGTCACGTAGGAATTTTCCATGAAGTTTTCTTCACTACTTCTTTTGAAATCTTCTTAAATCACCTAGATGAATTTAGTGTTTCCTTTCTTCCCCACAGAAATTAAATCCCTCCAAATTCAACAACAAAATTTCTCAGGACTTCGTTCAGAATAATTTTGGAATCCTACTCAGAGTTTCTCCTTTCAACTTTCTTTAAAAATTTCTTCCAGCTTTCCCCTATGTAAGTGGGACTTTTTTTGCTCCCTATTTTCCTCGGAACTTTCATCTGACTTCCCTTGCAAAACTCTTGTGACTTCTCCTCGATGTTTCTTCCTCTGTTGGCTTCCCCTGGATTTTAAATTGCCAATGGAAGCTTTCTTCATAGTTCCCCGGAAATTGCTTTCGACTTTTCCAGGATATTTCCTCCAATGTCCTCCGGAAGTTGTTGCCTGCTAATTTCGCGGGCAGGTTGTTCTAGTTTCGCCAAGTAAACATGGCTGGTAGTGAGTCACTTTTTAGTGACTAGGTCACTTTTTTCAAGCCAGTCACTAAAAAGTCTTTTTTTTTAAGGTCAAGTTACTTAAGTTACTTTTTCTTGTAATCAGTAACTATTTTCAACGTTTTAGTGTGAATTTATTTCAAGATTGACCATTCTTTGCTATGTGACGTTTAATCGTCTTTCTCTATAAATTCAAGACTTACAAAGAAAGCTATTTTTGAAATGCGTTCAAAATATGCTTTTTATGGAAGATCAAAAACAACAGTAATTAACCAAAACATTTTTAAGACATGGCAATCAGTTTTAAAGAAATAACTTTGGATTTGATTCATTGAATGTTTAGCACTTAGTCAACTTCTCACTTTAATAAATAAAAAAAAAAAACCTAATTAATTTGAGTAAGTCCAAGATCTAAAAATATTCAATATGTTGAAGTTTCGTTTTCCATGTACAAGTTCCATGTACAAGTTGAGAACCCTTAAGATGTTCCGAGAATTTCAGGGATGTACAGAGACCATCAAAGAATTTATGAAAACTTTCAGAAATATTTCAGGAACTTCACAGAAGTCCACAGAATTTCAGAAAAGTTTATCTTCAATATAATTGAGAGCTTTAGAGAAGCTTCGAGAACATCAAGACAGATCAGAGAATCAAAGGGCAGTTCAAATAAATTCAAGAAAATTGTAGTGTGCATACCTGCCATGCGGACGGCTGCCAAACCTGCACAATCAACTCAGCGAAGCCATAGCTAAACTACCGGAACCGCGCATCCTGGTTGGGGATCTGAACGGGCACCACCCGAGCTGGGGCTGCCCCCGCTCCGACCCTCGAGGTGTTACCCTGGTCGATATTTTCGAGAAGGAAGACATGGTGATCCTGAATGACGGTATGCCCACGTACTTTAACGGGCGACATACTTCTGCCACAGACGTCTCTGCTGTCAGCCGCTGCTTCACCGGAAAAACTCAGTGGAGCGCGAACACGGATCTCTATGGTAGTGACCACTACCACATCAAAGTTCAACTTTCGACCGCCATCTTCCCGATGACAACATGGAGGCCCCGATGGCGCTATGAACAAGCGGACTGGGATAGCTATGGTGAAGCCTTTCAGTCCTTGTTACTACAGCGTCATCCGAACAACATTAAAGACTTTTCAGAAGTGCAACAGCAACCATCCCAAAGACCAGCAGCGTTCCGGGGCGAAAAGCGCTACGCTGGTGGAATGAAGATACGAGGAAAGCCGTTAAAGCCCGGCGTAAAGCACTTCGTCGTGTGAAGTGCCTTCCTATCGGACATCCCGACCGCGAGGACGCTCTCCGTCACTACCATGAGTCGCTCATCGAACCATCTGGATGGAGTTTCTGGAAGGAATGAATTCGTCACAGTCTTCGGCCGACTTATGGAGGCAAGTCAACGCCCTCAGTGGGGAACGGCGCATGACACCGCTCCACGTACAGATTAACGGTGAAGCTGTTTCTGACCCTGCAATTGTAGCGGACGAACTCGGCTCGTACTTTGCCGATCTCGCAGCCATCGAGAAGTACGAAGACAAATTCAAGCGGAAAGCTAAGCCTTCGACGGCATCCATTGCAAGTTTTTCTGTTTCTTCTGACGCTGGAAACTTGGACACCAACAAGGCATTCTCCTGGCAAGAATTGCAGCATGCCCTCCGCTGCAGCAACGGAAAGTCGGCGGGTCCCAACGAAATCGGGTACCCTCTACTCAAGAGGTTACCAACGCCAGGCCA